CTAAGAACAGACGTTCGCGGTAGTGTTTTGTTTTGTTGACAATGGTGGCATTACTGAAGTCAATTTGGTGATCGTATTGTTCAGCATGCTTAGCGATTTTTGAATATTGATCAAATTGCGAAACAGCTCGTTCGTGATCTTTTATTCTAGTTTTCAATGCTCTGTCTGTTTGGCCGTAATATGCAAAGGCACAAATTATCGCAGCAACAGATTTTGTAAATGACTCCGCTTGTCTGCTCGGGTGGTAACTTGTCTTTGGGTTTGGGGAATTGGTGGGAAAAGGTACTGGTAGGTTTGTAGCACACTTCGATATTTTCTCTCCTTAATACTCGGGAGATCTTTTCTGTAACGCCTGTAACATACGGTAAGACTACAAAGCTAGACCGCTCACTGCTAGACCGCTCACTACAAAGCTAGGCTGCTCACTGCTTGCAGTTTGAGCGCTCTGGCATGGTTTTGATGTCCCACAATCGTGAGGCATCAAATGTAACTGTAAATAGCAGTTACTTTTTCATCCTGCTCATCAGCACTACACTGATGAGGCCCATGAGGCCGAAACGGTACTGTCTGTAGTTAGATATCGCTCTATGGCCTTTAGGTCATTTTGAGCGCTCTACAGGATGAGCCATGCCGCTTACGCATTGCGCCCGCTCACTGCTTGCAGTTTGAGCGCTCTGGCATGGTTTTGATGTCCCACAATCGTGAGGCATCAAATGTAACTGTAAATAGTAACGGTAACTGTAAATAGCAGTTACTGTAACGAGAAAGTAACTGTAAATAGGTAAAAGGGAAATATGGTAAAGGTAACTGTAAATAGCAGTTACTTTTTCATCCTGCTCATCAGCACTACACTGATGAGGCCCATAAGGCCGAAACGGTACTGTCTGTATATAACGGTACTATATATATATATATATATATATATATATATATATATATATATATATATATATATATATATATATATATATATATATATATATATATATATATATATATATATATATATATATATATATATATATATATATATGCATATATATATATATATATATATATATATATATATATATATATATATATATATATATATATATATATATATATATATATATATATATATATATATATATATATATATATATATATATATATATCTTTGAGCATGATTCTGAAATCGATTTAAACAAGACAAGCGGTGTTAACATGTCTCTGGTTAACATGATATTCCCGTCTGAAACCCTACATTGTGGTCTAGTGGTATATAAAACAACCGAACCGGGAGGCACGTAGATTTAAAACTGCTCTATGACCTATGTAAACAGACCTATTTTTAAAATGTAAAATTAAGAATTTTCGTAATCGTATATTCTCGTAATTATTCACCTTGTCAATATTTTTTTTAATAACTGTAACTTAAGATATATACCTTGTATCTTGAGACGAATGAAGATGATTGTTATATCACAACTATGATATGTAGTCTAAGTATTTTCAGCTGCAGTCAAGCGAAGGAATTATTATTTTAATTGCGATCGATCAATTTTAATACTTACAAACTAAGAAGACATGACATCCACCAGTTTGATAACATCAAGCATACAGTTCCTTGTGTCAATTATGAAGGAAAAGTGAAAAAAGATATATGTGTGCAATTCCCTTTCCGGACCAACATCAAAAACAACGACAGTTTATCGACAAGATTGCACAAGCAGACGTGTATACAAAAATCCAAACATTTAAACATTCAGGGCATATAACGTATTAATTCTATCCGTCAATAATCAGTTTTGCTGGTGACACGTAAATTAAAGTTATCCTGTCATACATCAATTATGATATCGACTGCAAGCTTGACATATACTTTCATATTTGGTTAAGGTTTTGTTATTAATTTGAATTTACATAAAGCAAGCGAATTACAGCATAGACATTTAGTCCCAGAGTCCGCCAGAGATCGACATGCATCTAAACTCGACCAAAATCTTCACACGGAAGTGAAAAGACCAAGACTTGTTATTTTAAATTTAAAGATTTATTCAATAAAAAAGACATGGTAGATAAAAACTATAATTAAATTATGACTCGGTTAAGAAGAGGAAAGACAATAAAATATACAGTATTAAAACTTGTTCTGAGAATCTTTGTCCTAAATTAAAGAAAGGCCTTTTCGAGCCTAGTAAACATAGTAGAGCAGACTTAATTAAGCTGCATGAAGAGAGTGTTGTCCTTATATCCAAGACATAACAATGGAATATGGTTTATCTTTCTGAGCTTGTAACTTGTTGTATGTTGCGCATTCCCATAATACACACATGCAAATTTTGCTGCGATTTCTATAGTGCAATTTTCGTCTTCTGCATGGGGCCGGTTGTTAATCCAAAGCTAGATCAGTGCTAATCCTCGATTAATATTTAACCTGCTGTTTTAGTTTATATATTTATATATACGTCTGTTTATTTTAAAACATCAGAGACGAAAAGGCCTACTGATGCAGAGAGTATTTCTGAGACTAACTCCCGTATTCTAAAAGGTCACACTCAGAATCTGAGCTTCTCTTGAGTGTCAACGCTGTTTTTGAATAGCTGGAGGCCAGGTTAGTGTCGTACCTTACTATGTGACTACTCACCCTCCAGCTACTCAAAAACAGCATTGACACTCAAGAAAAGCTCAGATTGAACCTCCACTCATTGAGTGTGAGTGCGAGTGAGCTTTTAGAATACGGGCGTATATTTCCAAATGTTTAAACAAGCTATATTTGGAAGTTTGCTTTGGATTTTAGGTTAACCTAGGATTAAGGTAGCCAGCTTTTGAACAACCGACCCCTGATGTATGTGAACGAGTGGACAAACTATATGAATTTATTTATTTATTTTTTTTTGTTTGAATAGCTGGAATGCTTTGAGTATGTATTATAGATATCTTATATACACTAGATAGTGCATATAATTATTCTACAATTCAAAAATTGAAGCCGTGATTGCAGACTCAGGATATTCCCATGAAATGAGAAGATTCGTATGTTTTCTATTTCTTAAACAGGAAACTTAAATATTAAGGTAAACCTATTCCAAATACATTTTTAAATTATTCAAACGATGAAAGTTATTGTTGTTTTTAAGCGTTTATTAGCGAGTGGGAAATACCAACATGGCCGCCATCTATTCAAATGGGGGTAACCGCTGCAATATTCTTGGTTTCAATTTTACTAAAAGAGATGCGTTATCTAGTTTATATAAAATATCTATGGTATGTATGTATACCTGAACATTCCTATGTCGACCACTCGTTCACAATATCCATTACGAAAAGAAAATTGCACCTAAAATCGCAGCAAAATTTCAAGTGTAAACGGACCTTTTGAAAGCAAATGAAAGCGGCATGTTTCAATTTTAAAGCATTGATTGATAGTAGCCGGGTTTCTATACATATTATAATAATATACATAAAGATATTACTCGACTGTGATTGGTTGATTTCAGTGCAGTTAATCCCAAACAGCAGTGCAATTTTCTGTAATCACAGTGCAATTTTTTGTAATCACAGTGCAAAAATCTGTAACAAACTGATCTGATTGGTGGAAAAACATTGTGATGATTAAATCAACCAATGAGTTTAAAGAATAAAGCAATTCAGTTTAAAGAAGTAACGGTCACAGATTGCTTCAAAACAAAACAAACATGGCGCCGCGCTACATAAAGTAAAAGTTGCCTTCGTGTGGAAAATATGGCTTTTATCTTTAATTTTAAATGGAAAAGCATTTACCTTAATTTAAACAAGACTAACACTATAGCTGTTGTATAATGTGATATAACAAAGCCAGGAAAACTTTGCCAGTGCAATGTTCGCTGCATTAAACGTAAGTTAAAACTATAATTCTCTCGAACATATTTATGTAAATTATTAATAAGTAATAGCATGTTTGTGATGTTACTCTGAGTGTATATCCACACCGGGCGAGCTTGAAAAATATGCCCGGCCACGGTTGGAATCGAACCTACGACTATAGACCTTTGGAACACTAGCCCAATGCTCTGCCAACTGAGCTACGCGGTCAGGACGGTTCGAGTAAGTGATATTTCGGAACAGAATCTAGTTCCTTCGATACCAATGTAACACCTGAGTACACAACACCAGCCAGGAAAAAAAGTAATAGCATGGTTTCTCGTGAAATTTGGATAAACATGCACTCGTGAGTTTTTCGAAGACCTCAAATAGCACTCGCGTCCTTCGGACTCGAAGAAACTGAAAAACTCACTCGTGCATGTTATATCCAAATTGCACACGAAACCATGCTATTACCTATACTAATTTCAAATCTCCAACATGGGCTTTTCGGAACGTTTACAAAAATTGAAATTCTAACTAATTATTTATTAATGTGGATTTAAAAAAATTGTTAAAGGCTAAATATTACTATATGTATAATTTTCTAAAAGATATTTACGTAATTTATGTTTAAAAGTTAACTGATGAACTACATTTAATGTTTTCTGCAAGTTCGTTCCATAAGGAGACTGCG